CAAACAATGGCTAATAATATACTATGAAGCGTGCTATCATTATTATAGCTAGTTTGCAGTTAGCTCTCGAGTGCTTTTCAGCTATTGATTCATAGAATAGTGCAAGGACATGAAAGCCTATGTAAATATTTTGGAAAACTGTTAGCCAAGCTTTCCTAACCTTTGTATTTCAATATAAAAAACTATCAAAACCTTATGGAGATTTCTAATCCCTTGACTCCAAAACTCGCTGGTGTCTAAGCACCAAAGACTCATGCCATTAACGCACATGACTGTCAACCATGCCTTGCTTCTTTTTTATTCCATCTAGAAAAAGGGACAACAAAGCTTAACCATTTAGTGATCATCAATAAAGGAGTTGGTTCTCGATGAAAAGTAGATGAACACATGCATGCATGAAGCAAAACACTTGCCTCACAACCACGCTCAAGTCCTTGATGAAAGAAGATCAACAAAGGCATGCAACAAGCTCAAGTAGTTCCACTGAAAGTAGAAGATAACAAATTATATCTAGATCAATCATGAAATTTCATGTAAGCAAAACACCTTTAACAGCAACCACCAGAATCCTTAAGCTCCCCACTCCTGGAGCCATTCCTGTATTATCCTTCAGTCTAATATATATAGCCATTCCTATATTATCCTACAGTCTAACATATCACTCTAAGCTTCTTTCCTTTCCATGAAAAGCTTAACACACCACTCTAAGCTTCTTTTCTTTTCCTTGTAGTTCTAACAAAACAAACCATGCTGGAATTTTGAAATGGTGTCCCCTATTCCACTACATCTCACCACATTATTGGCTTGACCATTAATTTAATAAGGGTTTAGGTTCCAGGAAAGTATCCACTTGTAGAACACATCAAATTATGGATGCATAAAAGGTAACATATTCTAAATGCAAATGCACAGGCATGGGACAACATCAACATGGTATTGCATGTGTTTGCATAAACCAGATATAGTCATCAAAGATCAGTGGCAACCATTTGAAAACAGGAAACTCACATCTTTTAATCCCAACAGCACACATAAATTAATTTTATAGAGGACAAAATACCAAGTATTTGAGCAATGCAGCCTGACAGCGTACTCAAGTTTGAATTTTATCCCATTTTCAACATCCACAATATCTTGACAGATAACAATACATCCTTTCTTTGAAATTTAATTGTTAATGCTAAACATTGACTACGCAACATTGCCTCAAGTCATAATCTCATTCTACAAACCTTGGTCTCACTTCAAAAGGGGCATATGAATTCACCAAGACATTGACCAAAAGACTGCTTCCATCTTCCTAAAGGGCCATGTCAAGCATATTTATAACCCTGCCAGAATTGATAAAATGGATCCAACGAGAGCACTATCATCACATACATTTTCTTCATCTGTTTTCGATAACCAATTTTGCTGCATGCAATCATTTGGTAGCATCAAAATAGCATGATTTCAAGTAACCATAGAACAAAATTCGAAAAAGTAAACAACACAATCATTAATAACCTTAAAACACAGAAATTCAAGTTTATTTATTTATCATATGTTCAAAATTTAGCCATCACTACATAACTAATCAGGCTAATAACTAGTAACTCTCAATGCCATCACTGTACATTTACCAAATCAATCAAAACACCCCACCAGAGATAAGATTTTAAAGAAAACCCATAGAGAAAACCTTTAAAAAGATAAAGGGTGCTCAGATTAAGTACTAGAAGTAGGCTTGAAAGTGTAAGGCTGAGGAAGCAACAACGGACCTCTCCTGGTTTCCTTGTCTTCCAACAACCTTTGCGATGTCTTGTTCCTACAGTATAGCCTATCAAAATGCTTCACCTATTAAAAAAATCAAATCATTAAAAAAAAAGCATTAAAATCGAGATTATTAACAATAACAATAATGGGAATTCATCATTTTAATCAAAGATTACCCAAGCAGGTCTACAATTCTTCTCAAACTCAGCCCTCGAGTTTTTACATTCAGCTGGATATTGAAGCCCCACGGACCCAATTTCTGTAGGTTTCTTGCCTGATTCTTTCTCCAAACAAGAAAAAAAAGCATCCCGCGCCTGATATTATTAAATGCAACAAACATCTAACCCTTTTGTTATCTTTACCAATAAAAGCAATTTTCTTGATTTTTCTATTTTAAACAAGCAAAATAAAAAAGGAAAAAGGACAGGAGAAATAGAAAGATAGGAAAGGACCTTGTAGCAAGCTTGTCTTGATTGAGAGAGGACATCTGTGTGAATTTTGTCAATATTTCTTGATGCATAGTTTTCCATAGCCATGGCTTCCAAGAACAGGCAGCAGCTGGTTTGGTTTGGTTTGCTTGGTTTCTCGGAGTTCGAGTCCAAGTACTAACCTGCTCTTGAGAAATAATCTAAGGACTGGCCCGTAAATTGACATAGGATATTGAGTCGAAGCTGTATCCAGTGAGCTGGGCTGGGATAATTTGATGAGCTGCTAAGCTCTTGAGCTGCATATCTTTTATATGCATGTGATATGGGTATGGGCTTACGCCTCAATACAGACATGTTTATGACACAGAATATTCTTTAAGCATAATGATGATATGCTCCTGTTTTCAGGCTTTTTCCAATTTATTTTTTTACATGATTTTTATTTTTAAATTAAATATAAGCATTAAATTTTTTTTATTTTTTAAAAATCTTGGCCGGCTTAAGATCCAGGTTTCTTGCATCACGAATTTGTCCTTCACGCCAAGCATAGCTTTAAATTAATGTATTCTAATTATGATTTTTTTTTTCAAATTAAATACTCACTTTCTTGATTTTTACTTTTATTTTAGATTTTTTTTGTTAAGTCATTTAGAAATTTTTAATATTATCTTTCGTTTTAATATTTAAAATTATGAACTTCAATATTTTAATTTTTATTTTTTATTTTTTTATTAAATTTTAATTTATTTTTTATTTTATCATTAAATTCATAATTTTATTTTATTTTTAATTCTCATCACTTGAGTGTGTTGGTATTTGTTTTTTACTTTTTTTTGTTCATTGTTTTTTATTCCATCTTTTTTATTATAAAGAATTGACCGATGTTATTTTTTTTAGTTTTTTTTTTTAAATACACTTACACTGCTTGAGTGTTATTTTTTAGATTTTTTTTTTAATTTCAATCTTTGATGGTGGGTTTATTGAAATTTGAGATTTATAATTTATTTTAATTTATTTTTTAATGGGGTTGTCACGTTTTTATAAACTGGATTACTTGAAACCCGAAAGATTTGGCAAGTTAAATCAGGTTACAGGGTTGGCATGTTAACTTATGTATTTTTTTAATTAATTTTTTTTTATCCTTCAATATATTGTGGAAATAAGCTTTAGAAAAAAAATTATTTGTATAAAGTTATCTTGGTTTTATTATTTGGATCATGGATTTCATGAGTTTATCCGAATTGACTTAGACCATTTTTATTTTTTTTAATTTGATCTTTTAATATTGGGTTTGCTTATCTCATAACGCGAGTTAACTGAATTTTTTTCCTTTTTATTGGTTAATTGTTTTTTTCAACTTCATCATTTAATTATTCTGATTTCATCACTAAGATCATGAATTTGACAATTTTATTTAAATTAGCTTGAATTTTTAATTTTTTTTAATTTTATACTTTAAAATTAAACTTATTAAAAATGTATATTTATATTTTAATTTAATTTGTTTACATAATTATCCCCGTTTGCTTACCCAAATTTCCAAGTCGCAAGCTAAAAAGATAACTAAGATAAAAAAAAAAAAAAAAAAAAAAAAAAAAAAAAAAAAACAGGAGTAAACAGTTAACAAATAAAGATGAGTGTGATTATAATTGTTGTTTAAAGTATTTTTTATTTAAAAAATATATTAATAATTTTTTTTTTATTTTTAAAATCAACACATTAAAACAATTTAAAAATATTAAAAATATATTAATTTAAAATAAAAAAATTAAATTTTTTGAAAAACGCTCAAACGCTGTCCCAAACACTGCCAAAGTTGCAAGTCAGAGCAGACTTCCTCCTTCCTTTTGTATTTATTTGTATTTAACCATTATTGGACGGCCTACGGAGTAGCCCTGCAGCTTTTCTGCAACATCAACTAGCCCATCGGAAAGGGGAGCAGGGAGGCATGGGTACAGGGAGGCTTGGGTACTCTCATGTCTACTCAATTTATATTCATGACGATTCCCGCCTATGAGGTAGCACATACATCCAAACATCATCAAGTCAATCGGCCATGATTTTCACTACTTTTAATATTCGCACGAATTATCAACGCATAGGAGGTCGGCACTGTCTTTTCCTATGAAATATTATTTCGATATAATTTGAAGTAAAAAAAATATTAATTTAAAATAAAAGATTCAAATTTTTTTCTTTATGTTTTGTTTCAGAAATTAGTTTTTTTTTTAATTTTTTAATTTGGTATTAATTTATTGAACCTTGAATTTTGTGATTTTTTTTAAAAGGAATATCCTAATTATGAATTAGCAAGCTAGTCTAGGTTAGCTAGGTTATTTTTTTTCAATGTTTTTTTATTTAATTTTAGTTTTTTTTACTATGTTTTTTTTTATATTTTTATTTCAATTTCATATTATGAGTTGATTCGATTTATTTTTTTTAACATTATTTTTTTTTAAATTATTTTTTTTTATCATTTCATATTTTGTTATTAAATATTGAGTTTTATAATTTTTTTATTTTTTATATCATAAATTATTTTAATTTTATTTTTTAGATACATTAAACAGAATTTGACACAGCACGCAGTGTAGCAGTTCCCACATCTCTATTATTATCTTTTTGCTTAATCGCATTCACCCATTCATCCTCGCCATATGGTTTTTCTTCCAATCGCTTTGCCACGTGTTCGTATCACTGTGGAGTCTCGTTCCTTTAGAAAAACCAAATCATTCCCTCGCGAGAGTTCTAGGTAAGTGGCAGGAACTGAATCTATCTATTACAGGACAGAAATTTAAGATATATTTTCATGAATTTTGTTGAGTAATGACAGGACCGTGATGAACGTAACAGCCAGACCTGTTATTTATTAACTTATGCCTGTTCATCTCTTTTTAATGTAGAAGGACACCATGTATTTGATGGTTTATAATAATTTAAAATGTCCTGTTAATCATAAAAAAAATTGGCTTAGGGAATCAATAGTACTTTCCCACTTTTTAAGATAATAAAATACCTCTTTCTTTGCATCATTGTTGTACTACATCAATCATTGTTACCATAATTACTGTTAAATTATAAAGTGTTAAATGGATATTTTTTTTGAAAAGTAAAATAGTTTGGTAAAATTTTTGGGAGAATAATGTAAGTTAAAAAATTATTTGGAAAATAAAACAATTTGAACACTGCTGTATTTATGAATTTTAATTTTGTTATTTTCAATTGCTTGTTTAGTCATTGAAAGTTATATATTTTATAAATTAATTAATTTTAAAAAATTCAACTCAAAATTTTATATAGATTCAATTAATAAAAGATAAGTTTCAAGAAATACTGTGATGAAAAAGAAAAAAGATAAACTAATAAAAATATAAGTTATTAGAAACATATTATATATTTATTTTTGATATATTAATGTTATTATAAATAACTTGATAAAATAATTCTAACTACATTTTAAAAAATCACCAAACAAACTTGTTATTAACCCGAACAAATCCTCTAATAGATTATAATATTAAAACCTCTAATAGATTATAATATTATTTGATGATGTTTTAATGTGTGATTAAATCTTTTTAATATTATTAAATATATCAAAAATAAAATTTTAATATATCACTAATGATCAATTTTTTCCTTTTTCTTTTCTCTTGCATAACATTAGCTTCTTTTTTATTTAATTGAAATTTTATCAAATTTTGAGTTGATTATTGTATCTATTAATTAATTTTAAGAAAACATAAATTTTAAAACAATTAATTTTTATAGGTGGTTGTATTAAAACTGTTTTATTTTACTAACACTTTTCTGGTATTATTTTCTCAAAATTTCTATTAAACTATGTGTCAGAATGACAAGATGCTCGTCTTAAATTAATACATAAAGGATGCTCTTGGTACTGAATTTCAGCTTTTTTTGGGATAAAAAAGGATTAATGCTATTCAACCTTCATTTTGTCGAGAAAAGGAGTTAAAATTGAATATCAAATAGGCTCTGCGTGCTAGTTTTAAGCCATTTAATTTCAATTTTGAGCAGTTATATTTTTTTCTAAAAATCCTAATAATTATTTTATTTCAATCTTGTCAAACATGGTAATGTGTATTTTTATTTACTTTTTTATAATTTAATTGTTTTTAATTATTAAAATTCTTATAATATTTTGAATAAGTGGACACAATTATTAGATTCTCAGAATTTGTTGTAAAATAACAAGTGCTAAAAAAGGCTTTGGTTAGCTCTTGGGATAGTGTTCAACACAAAAACAACATTTTCATAAATAAATACAAAAACTCAAAATCTAACTCTCATCTACGATGTTGATTCAGTTATGTAAAAAATTCATTGTTTTGTTCAAAAAAATATTTTCCAAGGTTATATATATTAGCTGCATTTATATCAATAATATTTACATTATACGTACAGCTATATCATATTATCGTATATATAGTTTGTGCTATAAAATGAATAACATTTTATAATATTTATTGCCTTGTATTTTTTTTTTCTTTTTTGTATCGGTAAGACTTTAGAACAAAATTTTTCATACATAGAAACCCAGATAATAAGTTAACAACGTTGGATGACAGTTAAATGTCCAGGTTTTTAGTAAGATGATTTTATTTTTGAAACAAGAAGAAGAAGATAAGGTTGGTGAATCTTCAGAATAATTTTTTTACAAGGATATTTTGATAATTATATTTTTTAATCCCCACGTATTAAATTATTGATGTTTGACTGGTCATCATTGAATATATATATATATATATATATATATTAGATCAATACTATGTGAATGCTGCGCAAATTAATTCTCTCCTAATTTTCAATGCTTTCTTAAAAATGTACATTATAATTTTTGTGTTCTTCAATTTTTCACTCAATATTTATGGTTAATTTGTTGTTATTTATTTTAATTTGATGGTCTCTAATCTATGTACTCGTTTTGCTTGATAAATTTAATTTCTTTTAAATGGACAGCTAATCTTAACGTGTTTCACTTTGTTTTTTTGCATCTCATAGGCGCGTGATGTGACATTGATTGTAATTGCAGTTTCGGTCTCACAACTATTTGTGACCTTTAATGTCGAAATTTTATAAAAAAAAGTTGCGTAGAATATTTGTAATTATAACATCTATCCGAATAACAAATCAATTCGGATTTTTTATTTTTTTAATTTAATATTTTTTTAAATTCATTTTTATTAATTATAAATTAGATATTTTAATTTTTTTTTATAAGACTA